ATTGATTGTTTTGCAGACGACGAAGTCGTGGGTTACAAATAGTATTATTAATGAATAAGATTATTTAACATTATATATCATACATTATATAACAATTATAGAACGGGCATGTTATGCGGAGGAGCGAGGACCATGTCTTAAAGAAAGGGTATAATACGAACCCTAAAGAATGAAGAAGACAGAAGAAGCCTAAAAAAATCGATGGATTGTGTGAAAGATGATATGAATAAAAAGAGAGTATGTTCTGATATGACTGCTGATAGAGGTCAATGGAAGAGAATGATATATGCGCCGACCAAAACCAATGTAATGATAGCGATGAAAAAGCAAGGCGATGATGAAGACATTATATAACTCTTAAAAATATACTAAGATTTTTTTTAAGTAGGTTGCACGTCAAGGATTTTCTGGTTATTTCAAATAATGCATTAGAAAGTATACTGAAGGAGACTTTAAACAAAGTCGTCTGTGTATTGACAAGTTAAGACAGATGATATATTATATCATCTGTCTAAACTTGTCAATAGGAATACTTCGGTATGAAAGGTGAGATAAGGTAGTGATTTTTTATACTACATAAATGACAAACAAGCCTAGCCTAGATAGCTCTAGTAGTAATACATACAACTCATACAGGCATGGCATCGTAATCCTCGGGAATAACAACCGTGGTCTTTGTAACTTTGTGACGTTCGTAACGCTATGTAACACTATATTATCTGTGGTAATACTATTCATGTTTGTACACTGACTATCAGCTTATCTATCAATTCAGTTACATAAAACACCAAAACTACACTACTGAAAAACGCGTAACATTTGCTAACCTTTTTGCATATGTACATAAGTAATGATTTTATATTTTTTACGAAAATAGCATTTCCACTGGGGACGACCCCAGACATAAGGCAGAAAGCGAAAGTGACCCTTTGACCCTAACACGTAATAATGTCTGCCAAGATCATTGAACAAGTAACTACGCTTCTTGACAGTATAGGTACTAGATATCACACGAGTAGACTAAAATATTTTTATTAAACAGATAAGTATTATATGCTATGCTATATATATTATATCTTTTATATATACAATTTTTGGCGTTCATAATACTAGTTGTAGTTACTACGCTTTAAAGAAACTAAGTAGTAATATAGTGGGTCGATGTGCGCAGCCCCTCAGACAACGTTTTGGAAATCATGGTTCTAGTTATAGGTACCAACTTCTTTCGTTTTGTAAGCAAAAAAAAAACTTTAGAGAGAAAAGTGAACACAATTTGATAAAATGATTGTAATGTATACTTAATATTAAAAAATACGAAAGTCTCTCTATTTGTTACTTTTTCAGAACTTATCGGCTGAAGCGATATTAATGAAATTTGACTTTAGGATAAATTAAAGGGACAGCAATAGGCTATTTTTTATCTCAAAAAAAAAACACTGTCGCTGTAAATGGTGTGTGTAATAAATTACTGTTATGTTATTTTACAATTTATTTTATCTTGTCATTATAATATAATATAATAACATATAATATTATTTATATTACATTATAATTTATCTACTACATATATAACGATACAATAAATTCATTTAATTTTTTCCTTTCAATGTTTTGTTCATACCACAGATAAGATAATACATGTATTCGTATTTAAACAAATTTATTTATTGGATTTTTAAATTAATTAATTATTCATACCTACAATAATTAAATACACGAAACACAACGAAACGGCTGAGAGGAATTTGAATAAATTTTAAAGTGAAGATAAATAAGTGAATTTTGAAGTGAGAATGGAAATAGGTTATCTTTTTAATCAAAAAATAATCATAAAGAGTGAAATAGGGAATGGATGTGTGCAGATGAAGTCGCAGGTAAAAGTTTGTATAATAAAATGTATAATAATACATAATGCGTAAATGTGTCTGACGTTTGACATGGAGATAGACTGTGCCTGGAGCATAGAAATATATGCTCTATGTTCTATCAAAAAGCGAATAATTAGACAAGTGTTATTAGGAGAAATTAAAAGAGATAAAGTAGAGAGGTATAGTTTTCGTGTAAATAATTTATATTAATTGCGTCATTTAATTTAGAATGCTTTAAACTTTGCAGAATTATTGTTTATAATTAATAATTGACAAATAAACAGTAACTCGAGTTAAGCCGAGTATGAGCTAGTTCATTAATTTAACTGGATTTATCTAAACAGATAAACATATAATCCTAGCCGATACCTGCAACTTCGCTTGCTTCTTTCGAAATAAAATACAGTTTGTGTCCGTCGTGGTGATACACTCTAATTTATCAAATTTAATCGAGATCCGTTCTACCGTGTAGTTGTAAAAAGGTAATAAACAGACAGAGAGATATAAATACTTTTGCTTAATTAGTATGAATTACTATAATATCAAAAATAATATATTATTTATTATTTTTTACATAGTATAAAATAAAGTCGCCGCCGCCTCTTCACTTATATCATTTAAATTATGCAACAGATTTTAATGCAGTTTTCAGCAATAGATAGAGCGATTTAAGAGGAAGGTTATAAAACACTTGCGTGTTATAGTATGGAACAAGCCAAGAATTCTATGATTTAGCAAAGCTGGGATAGGTCACTAGTATTAATATAAATGAATAATGACCAGGGTTATTTATTATTAATATTTATAGTAAATAACCCTGGACAACTCACACAGCGCCAACTAGTTGCAATCTCAGTAGAGCTTGTGGGTAGGACAACAACACCAACAATTAATAGAAATACTAAAAGCTTTTCGTAAATACAAATACAATATATATAGAAAACACTCTGACCAATACAAACAATCATACTCTTAATATAAATATTTGTATCTTGCGCGGAATCGAACCCGCGACCATCGGATATAAGGCGGTGTGCTAAATCTCTAGACCACCGAAGCCATTAATAATATGTAATTAGATTATGACATTACCAATTAACTGTCTATTTGTATAAGGAAAATTCGAGTGCGATCCACTCTTGCGCAGTACACCGAAGCAAGAGGATACGGATACGGTTAGGTCATTCATATTAGCAACTTAACGCAATGCCACACGAATTAAATAATAAGTAGTTATTTTTTTCGCAATTGGAATGGAAAACAGGCTTACAGCCTGTTCGTAAGCGGTCACCTATATACTTGAACAGTACTACGCTCATCATAATGTCAAGTGACACTCGTGAAACTCTCTTTCACTGCTTAATCTGTATCCTATAACTGAAAATCAGCTTAAAAGGTAAGCTGTTCGAAGAATAAAATAGGTGAGATCATCACGTTATCATGTGACACTCGTGATACTATTAATGGGTTACTATTCTAGAGGACTAAGATGTGATGTCTCTTATCCTGTAATTTAACTGTCTAATGTGACTCTACAATCGAAACACAGCTTAAAAAGTAAACTGCTTGTCGAATGAAATAGGTGTGACTATTATGTTAACATGTGACACCCATGATACCATTAATGCTTTACCATTTCATAGGGCTAAGATGTCATGCTTCTTATCCTGTAATTTAACTATCTAATGTGACTCTACAACTGAAACACAGCTTAAAAAGTAAACTGCTGGCGAATTAAATAGGTGTGACCATTATGTTAACATGTGACACCCATGATACCATTAATGCTTTACCATTTCATAGGGCTAAGATGTCATGCTTCTTATCCTGTAATTTAACTGTCTAATGTGACTCTACAACCGAAACATAGCTTAAAAGGTAAACTGCTGGCGAATGAAATAGGTGTGACCATTATGTTAACATGTGACACCCATGATACTATTAATGATTTACCATTTCATAGGGCTAAGATGTCATGCTTCTTATCCTGTAATTTAACTGTCTAATGTGAATCTACAACCGAAACACAGCTTAAAAGGTAAACTGCTGTCGAATGAAATAGGTGTGACTATTATGTTAACATGTGACACCCATGATACCATTAATGCTTTACCATTTCATAGGGCTAAGATGTCATGCTTCTTATCCTGTAATTTAACTGTCTAATGTCATGCTGCTGACATAGGTGCATGTCGACTGAAATAGGTGAGACTGGGGGGAAGGGGATTGTTAGTAATGTGGACTGATGATCCCATTGCTAACAATGTACTATGTCAGGTCGACCTCCGCGTGGTTCCCCCTGGAAACCATCGTGATATTTTTTTTCATTTCCCGGTGAATTTGTCATATTTGGCTAACTGAACTGACTTCGTGTTCATCTTATCATCCTCCACTGGTGCCCCGCCAGCGTAAACCGTTAGCGCAGGCGGAGGCACCATTCCATTATCATCGTTTAAAAAAAAAATTGGTGAGACTGAGTTACTCACTGAGATTTTTTGTAGTATACCTCAAATTAACATTTTATTCTCTGGGTAATGCCTTCCAAATTGAAAATTCTTATCTCTAATTGTAATCTATCTTCAATAACACATACCATAACTCTGCATTTACTTCAGCCACAAAGCAGCTTTTTTTGTAAGCTGAGTTTCAGTTTAAAGTTAACGACATTTAATCTAGGTTAACAGGAATGGCAGCCGACGAGCGATAGTATGATTACTCATAAGAACGTGATATCCGTCTTGCTGATTATACATATCTGTAGACCAAAATGACCACTTACCATCAGGTCACTTACTATCAGATATACTATCCCAATTACATAAAAACTAGACAATTAATTATAAAGCTTCCGAATAGGAACACAGTCAATCCCATTCAGTTCTGACTCAAATCTACCATTCAATTTTATATCCTAAATGCAGGTGCAATTGGATTCAAATTTGCAATAATAGACGTTCTAAATGACACCTCGATAACACCCGATGTTATGCGATAATACACAATCGCTGGAGCGGGGATTTGAAGCTTAAATAAAAGAAAACACAACTATCGCCGGTGAGAGTGACGCTGCAACCACCAAAGACGCACGCTCCGTCCGCGCTAGAAAGTCGACGTAAATTCGGTGGACACGTTCGTAACTCGTTCGCGTTTTGGGACGGGAACCTGTCGATATATGTGTTGTCGATAGTGAGAAAGTGGCCTGTGTCAGTGCAAGTGTTAAGTGACTTTCGCTCTTACTGTTTGTGCAGGATGAACGTTTACAGTATGAAGGTGGGTGCTAATTGTTATATAAAGATTCCTCGATTAACAATAGTCAAATGCAATTTCTATTTTTTTAGTAATTTATTCTTTGATATGCAAAGCTTTGGTATAAAAAAACTAAAGAGTGATAGGTATTCAATGTATTTAAAATTATCAATCATATAAGTATATATTTATGTGATCCGGCACGCAAGAAAAACTTTCTCTTACTTTAGATAAACATATTATAATATCATATAAACTCACGGAAGTATTTACATATAGAATATATAGAGTTCGTACTCTATATACTCTAGAAGAAGACATTTTGTTTTAGTTTCTTAATAATAAAGTAATATGCAACTTGAAAGTTCAAAATTATAGTCTACATATATTGAGTTTGCATTTTACTAATAACGAGACCTCAATACATGAAATTATTTAATTATAGTCTTATTCAGTTAAAAAAAATGAGTGCCTATTGTATTGTAATTATCATAGAGTTTGATATATTATTAAAAAGTTATCTACATAACATCTTAGAAACTTTTATATATCCTGTTTGCCAAGTGCGGAACATTTCATTTCCCGCTCGCGTGTGAATATTATGAAATCCATTCTTATTGGTTATATTTATAAAGCTAAAGACCTTATTTTTTATATTTGGAAATCGTACTCTAATTGATTTTCTTCAGTACTTAGTATGATGTACATATATATAAAATATATCCATAGGTGGTTACAAACCTTTCGCCATCACAAGTTATAATGTATGTAATCAGAGGACTAGTATTTCTTACCAGTAATGTACCTATTTAGTAAAACCACGCAGTCCATTCTGAAATACATTATACTTTATTCTTTGGGAATTTTCTACGATGATGGGATAAGTGACCTGAGTTTATTCTCACCTTATCATCTTCTACTGATTCCCCGCCAGCGCTGACGGATGCACTATTTTAAATTCATGTATAAAAATATATATCTACAATATGAGGTATCGCACGTTGTATTGGCAGACTTTTGGCATATTATAAAAAAGTAATAAATGAGAAACTCGCAGTAGTTAGCAAACACATATTGTGTAGTAATTTCAATACCTTGGGTTTGTTTTTTTTATTTATTTGCAATGGGTCTGAAACTCTTAAGAATTATTAATTAACACGTGTATCAACCCCACATCTGACTTATTATATTGCTATATGCAAATGTTTAGATGTTTACATTAGTTATATTTTCTTAGTGCATTTTAACATTAAGACATTACAAGATATTAAAATTGTAATAAAAATATTAAAAAAATACAGAGTTTAAATCATGAAAATTAAAAAAGATACATTGGTATACATTGCTAACTCCTAATGAATCAACCGATATACATGTATCATCTTTTTCTAAGGACATTATAAAAAAATGTAATAACATATGTAAATAATAACGTAGCCAAAAAATATATAAAATTTAACCATGTATTTCTAAGGTAGTTATAAAAAATGAGATATAGTAAAAGATTATAAGAAGAAGATAAGAAGAAGATATTAAGAGAAGAATATATTTAAATAAAGAAACTTTTCCATTTATACATTTTCTTTATCTCCACAATGAATTTGATGGTATATATGATAAAGATTTATTGCTATGACAATTATTGTATGCAATGAAAATAAAAGCAAGTTTCACTAAAGAACAATACAATACATAAGTTGGTGTGAATTAATTATAAAAACGTTACGCGAAATTATCTTAATAGCTGTGCATTGTTTGGGAAAGACATACGTTTTTATCAAAGTATATATTTTTTTTATATCAGTTTAAGTAGTAGGTAGCTAATATTTCAATATGGAAATTATATACTTTTTTTAGCTATAAATAAATGTTAAATCTATTTATAAAATATTCTCATTTAAATTCTGAATATATGTAAATTTTTAAAATAAGTTTGGTTGGTCATGGAAATTTCTTATATTTTTGGAAATATTAATTCGATGTATGTACTTTTAGAAAGTTTATACTAAATATAGATTACATATGGCTTTCTACTTACCTCCTATTTATAAAAAATAATAGTACACGTTTCAATATATCAAAAACCATATCAATATTTCTTAAATCACTACAAACGTACATCTTGACGAATTCATTGTTAAATCTTTGTGGAAGTTAAATATTTGTAAATTAATACAAAAATTAAAACTAAATATTCTATTACACTAACAAAAAGGCAAATTTTATTTAAAGAATTTCCTCCAATACATTAAATCTGTATGATCAATATTCAATAAGATCATATTAAATGGGAATTCAATAAGGTTCGTCAAAAGACTATGCAAGACTCTTGACAGTCAATGACAAGCTTTCCCCAAAATATAGATATAGTACTGAAAAGTTCTGAATAATAGTTGAAATACATTGAATTCCTTTAATATTCATATGCCGCTGAAAACATTTTTCGCCATCTCATCCATTATTCAATACGCTAGTTTTGTTTGACATACAAAATTCCAACAACTGACATACATACACGTTGTTAAACCTGACGCGTTACATTTGTTATAAGTATTATAACATGGCCGTTGACACGGCTACTAGCAACGTAATGACGATTGAAAGTGAATCCGTTTTGCTTTCTGAATGCCACCGTGTGTCTAAATTATAAACATTTGACGTATCTATTGATATTGCGTTATAGTGTACGACGGTTATCGATAGAAAGTTGCCCTGCCCTATAGATTTTTATAATATTGGACAATAATATAAAGATATTATTTTATTCTATTAGACAGAGCAAAGACACCCTTTTTACCCCTCTTCTTAAGAGAAGAGGGGTAAAAGGGAGATAAGTCTCTTAGCAACATAATGATTGAGATAGACTATGTATTAGTCTATCTCGGACATTAAGTTACAAATATGTACATGTACGGCCACATACTTATAAAATTATAAACTAAGAAAGAAGCACTGGTAGAAAATACCAGGAGTAGTACATTCATAAACCCTAATAACGGACAACTCGAATCAAAACTTACAGTAGTAATTCAGACTAATGCTATTAAGTATAAACAATATACATATGCATCACGACTAGCATAGTGAGTTCGAACATTGTTTATATGTAAATTATATAAACAATTGTCAGTCACTCAGGCCTAGCTTAACAAAAATTTGCAGATTTTTCCAAATTGAAGAGGCTACAAATACACGTCCTATGTGGTTGTAGCCCACTCATGCATAAATAAGAAGATAAAAACCATCGCTTCTAAGAAGTCCTTCAATTCTTCCCTAAAGGACCCAGGCAGCGAGCTCTATAAAACCATAATAAAAATCATTAGGTTGAAGTGCAACAAGACTAAGCTAATACCCCAAATCCATTAATAAGAAAAGCTGTGTTTTGGTCGATTCGTCAGATATAGCAGTGAATTTACAGGAAAAAAGGCATGACATCTCTTTCCTCACGTATGGCAATACACGTGGAATAATACGAGCGTTAATTGATGACGTTATATCCGTATTCATGTAATATATGTCCTACATATTGCAACAAATATATATATATAAATAACAAACTTACACTCAACTTCAATGTTGATAATTATAATTAATGTTTTGTAATCAAAATTACATTTATATTTAGGTTGGCTTACATTTGTTTTTTATTTATTTCAAATAAAAGTGGGCACATTAAGTAACGCAAGCGTCTTCCCCTTCTAGGTTTATTATAACAAATTAATAGATTATATATCGATTATATATCGATAATTATACATAACAGCAAGGTACATAGTTAAATATTTTTGTTTGTGTACCACTAACCTAAATTAATGAAGATGTCTATTGTATATCTTCACGATCAGTTATATATTTACTTGTGAAAGGTTATTAAGATTATATAACATATTTACTTCATAATTATAACCATCAGTTGTTCTACTTAGTTATATACTTTTTTTTATTTTGTTATGAATGTAGGTGTACTCTATGATGAAATAGTAATAAATATGTAATAAATACTAATGCTTACTACATATACAGATGCCTGCGTTTCCGCGATTAGGTACATATTACATAGAAGAGTTACTCCACAGAAAGTTACTCCATGAAGCAACAAAGCGTACTAGTGTTTGTTGTTTGCAACATCTCTCAAAGGAGGCAGAACAGGACAGTCTTTTGTACATTGTCAGGTGCTAATACCTGTGGCACTGCAACCTGCATAACTCTATTGTGCCCGTCCTTTTTCAAAGTTCGCTATCTAGACCCGTCAATCTCAAGATTTGAAGAATGTTCTTAGGAGCGATGGTTTTTATATTCTCAGGATAGAGTGTATAAGTATACACTCTACAGGTTAGAGTGTATAAGTATACACTCTACAGGTTAGAGTGTATAAGTATACACTCTATCCTGAGAAGATAAAAACCATTGGAATTTCCAAAGGAGATATTTTGTTTATGCATGAAGGGGCTATAACTACATAGGATGTGTCAGTCCTTAGAGGCATATGAAGCATACAAAAGTCTTCCAGAGTACTGATGTTGTTATATTTAATAATAACCTGTAAAATTTCTCACAGTGCCATGTAGTTACCAACAAAACAATGTTTGTACTATGAATACAATCGAAAAACAACCAATGCAAATATAATGTATAATAGTTTTAAATGCATACGTAATATATATGTAAGAACATCTAAATCTATTGTACGGGATCCTATTGAACCCCGCTCGTTCAGAATCGGAAAGTCGTTATGTTAAACATCTAGACCATCCGGCAGTCAATAGTTATTTAATCTTTTTGTATTAGGATTCTTTATCTTTGTTGTTCTTATGTCCCTACAATTATACCAATAATATAACATACCCTTATTTGAACATTAATAATTTATATATTTTGAATATATGATACATGGGAAATTCCTTCTAAAAAATATTATGTTGTATATGCTCGCGGATGACAGATGCAGTTCTTAGTCTAACCCAACACTTAACTTATTTATTAGTGCATATCGTCACAAGATTAATATCACATGCCGGATGACA